CTTTTCAATTTTTTTTAATATATTATATTATTATATTACCTGCATGTATTATATTACCTGTTTATTAATATATAAAGCATGCAACTATAGTTGAAAAATTGATCTTTTCAGACTATATTATTTAAATTTTTATTTGATTTAATATCATTAAAATATTACTTTTTTGAAAAAACCCACTTGAAGTTTTCAATAGCACCTACTATAAAAATTATATGAATATTTGAGTTTCTTTTACTTTACTAATATTAAAAACTTAATCATATAAATCATGCAACTCTATTTGACAAATTTATGCTGCACAATAAATTATATAAAAATAAATGTGAAACAATAAGTTCTAGTAAAAAAAAAAATTTTTTTGTTGAAAAAACCCACTTATCGTTCCAAGTGGGTTTTTTCAAGGTGGGCCCACCCAATAAAACCCGGGCGGGTTTTTTCAAAGTGGGCCCACTTGGCGAACCCTGGCACAAACACATGTTGCAATTTGACCCACATAAATCCACCCTTAAACTGTACCTGCTTTCAACCATTCCACTTTTAACTTGGGAATTATTCAATTTATACTCTCTGTATGGCAGCGCAATAATAGGCATTTATAACTTCTCCTGGAATACATTGTGTATTTATTTATATTATATACATTTTTAATCAAAGTTTAAAAAATATTTAAAAATGCTTTATGAATGTGATATATTATAAAGAACATTATTTTATAACAAGTGGGATTTTGAGTAATAATAACAGAAAATATTATTAAAACATAAAATTTACTATTGTTTGACTCTTATGTCAGTCTCTTAGCTCTAGGTACATTCAATCTTTTAGTACTGGGGGGGGGGGACTTTGAATCCAGAAAAAAAACTTTATTCTGAGGAAATGAAAAGCTCCGAGAATTTTCCCCACCCACTCTGCATTTGCTTATACATGCATGAATGTTTCCAATTAATCATAACTATAATATATTTCCCATGGTGCGTAAACTATTATAATTTACGAAATTTGTTTAAATGAGTTAATTTTTGCTATCAATCAATTTAGGGGATTTATTAAGTTACTTTGAATATTTAGTATAGTTATTGGTAGATCTAAAGTGGCTGCTGAAATGAATGACTGACCACGTTTTTCCTCTTTTTTTAAAAAAAATTAATTTTTTCATGATAAATGCACGTCCATGCAGAAAGAGATTCTGGAAATCAAAATTTTCGTTAAAATGCGCAATCTCTCCCTTCAAAATTTGATCTTCAGAATCCATCAATATAGGGTGAAAGGGAAGTATTTTAACAATTCACATATTTCATTCAAAGGTATTTTGTCCTCCCCCAAATATTTGCACACAAAAAAAAGTCCTTTAAAGTCAATATGTTTAATAAAAATTTTTCACATACTTAGTTTTTTTTATTGTTGAATTGACTTTTTATAAGCAGTTCATTATTTCTAAAATGAATTTTTTCGTAAATACAGTGAAACCTCCTGTTATGGACACTCCTGCACAACAGACGCCTTTCAATACGGACATATTTTTAATTCCCCGGGAATTTTCTATGAATATACCATTATGTACATTCTCTGCAAAGCGGACACTCCCGTAACTGGACGCAAACAGTCATTTTGCTCCTGAAACGTTGTTTTCTATCTCTACAAACCGGACATTACTTTTTCTAAATTTGAAAAATGAACTATTTTTGCTTTAACTTGCAAGGTAAAAAAAAATGCAACTTTTCACCATTTGTAAAGCATGTAAATAAAAATTTTTGCCTTATCCGTAACTAAAAACATTGTTATGCTATTTCACTACTGAAAAATCAATCTTTCTCCTGTCACCTTGCCTTATCTTTGTAAAGAAAGGAGAGAAAATGGTACTGCACTCCTGAAATAATTCTGACATCGGCATCTTTTCATCTGAACCACATAGGTCATGAGACCCCTCAAGTTGAAATAACATCTCTCAATGCTTCTTCCCCATTGAAAATTTCTTTAATTTTCTTATAAATTTGAAGATTGTATTTAACACAACTAGGGTAAAAAAAAAGAGAACAGGAGTATAATCTTTGAGGTGTTTATATAAAGGAAACATTTATTCAGTCACTTGATAGCTGATCAATTGTGAATAATCAACTCCATAGGTCCTCATGACTTACAGGTATGCATTACTTTTTTTTCTGTGAATCATGGGAGTTTTTTTTTTTTTTTCAAGAAGATTTTAACCATGGTCCCTCTCAAATGATAAGTAGGTGTAAGGGGATGTAAATTTAATAATTGAAACGGACTGAGGACAGAAAGCTCCTATTCAGTGCCATATGTCTAACTTGAGTATCTATGCTGATATGAAAATTATATTTATTTATCTGTAGCTACATCCAGAATTATGTATTTATATCAAACTTCTTTATATATTCTTTTTTATCTTTCTTATTGTTTAAATAAATATTCTTGTAGATATTTATAGTATCCTTGTAGATATTATTTAATTATTTCTACATCTTTGAAAATATTCCTAAAACAATTTACGGTGTTAAATTTCGTTCTTAGGGTACCCTTCCCGTAAACGGACAACTCTCATAAACGGACACATTTTTTGGTCCCATGAATATCCGCTTAACGGAGGTTTTACTGTATATATGACTGAATTCTAGCAAAAAGATGGAAAAAGCGACTTTTAAATGAAAAGGTCCTCTCAATATCTATCATTGACTCATTAGGTGTGAGGAAAAAGTGACTACTAAGTCATTATAGTCTACCTGCCACTGGGTACTATCTGAAAGTTTAAATTTTCAGGTTCAGTTATTTGAATAAATTTTTAATTATGTGTTATTTTGTTATATTATAATAGTTTCAGTAAGTCTACATTCTAGTCCATCTAACTCAGTTTTGAAAGAAAAATTTCGAATTTCGGTCATATTTATACAAAACTGAAAAATGATCTTGGAGTTCAGAGGCTTCAAAATTATTTCTTTGTGGTTAATAATACCATCAAATAGCATCTTTTACTTTCTGGTAGTTACTAACCTGATAATTTATTAACTGATAATTTATTAACAATTGTCATTTCATGCTATTGCTTAGAAAGCTAGTAAATTTACCCATTATTTTTAATTGCGAGATTTAAATAAGGGAACTTTTGCTCTTAAGTGTGCCAAAAAAGTTTAAAAAAAAGTTAGCTTAGAAATAAAATGTTATTTTTTGGTTGTTTTAAGTACTTTTCTTTCTTTTTCTAGTGTGAACAGTGGTATCTGTAGCTTGGCTTTACTTATGGCTGAGCAAAATTCTTATGACTTTTGGACACGTTATAGTAATTTGTGTTTAAAGTGTAAAGTATGTCCACTAAAGAGCGTCATCAAACATATGAAAGGAACCACATTATGTTGCCCAGTGGAACGGATACGAAGTGAACACTGGCAATTTTTACTTTCTGCTTTAAGTGTGGATAATAGTTTAACTAGAGTACAGTTTAAGTCTGATTTGCCATCTTTAGAAGAGCAAGAAGCATTGTGTAAGTTTAGTTAAAATAATAAAACAGAATATTGACTTGAATTTGTCGTAATTTGATTTAAATTTGCCTTTTTTTGTCTGAAATAGGAACATTTCATTAAATAGTTATTGTTAAACAACTAAGTTTGGCCATTTTGACCAGTTTCTTCCGATTTTTCCCACTTTCTTACAGTGTTCTACCTGTAAGAAATATGTTTCTTTCAAAAGAAATCCTAACCCTTAAGTGAAATGTCCCATATCTGAAATCATCGAGACTTCTGCAAGTCTGAAAAATAAATTTTTCCAGATAATAAGTCTTTAAGGTAGACAAACATCAAAACATGCATGAAAACAATAACAAATAGATGATAATTAACATCAGTTTCTTATTATAATGATAATTAACATCAGTTTCATATTGTAATATTTTCTTAAAGGTTGAATAATATTTAAAAACCTAAAGAATGATTATTGTAATAAAATATATATTTTTACTATCTTGCAACCTGCAGAAGTTTTTTGCCTACCTGTGTAAGGTATTTTTTCTTCTTGTGCTTTTTTCTGTCGAATTTGTCCCCATTGTTCTTAATCAAGCCAACATATATGTTAATTTCAGAATTTTTAATCTTGCTATTTTTTCATAAATGTAACTTTCAAATAATTTTAATCCTTACGTGCAGTTCAGCTAAATATTTTTTTTATCTTTTGAATCATATAGAAACTGATTCTACAAGAATAAATGCAAATATGAAATTAATGTACGTAAAAAGTTTTGATTAGGACTCAAATAAATATAAAAATCCTATACTTATTAGTTAAAACTGTATTTTAATTAAATATTGTTATAAACAATAAAATTCATCTGATACTTACTATATACAAAACCGCTAAATTCGAAAAACACTGTCTATTTGATATCTGACTGACATGAAAACTGTATTTGATTTTAAGTTAGTTTTAAAGTGCTTACCTTCTTGTTGATAACCACACTGAGAAAGTTAAGAAATAGAATTATACATTATTCCTTGTTTTTGTTATGTCTCCTTTTTATTTATTTTTATATTTAGTTTCTGCAAAACCATTCTTTTAAATTTTTTTTAGGGAAGAGAAGGAGAAGAAAAAAAGATGAAAGTTATCCTTGTCCATATGGATATTCATCTCACAATATTAGTGATATATGTAAATATACTGCCCGCCTTTTAACTGTATCCCAAACATTACAAACATTAATTCTAGAAAATTTGCCAATTACTAAAGAAGATGCACTACATCTTGCAGAAGTAAGTTTTCGCTGTTTAGCTTATCTGGTTTTATTTTTTTATTTATTAGTAAAGTGCTACAGATATTGAAAGAATTTTCTTTTTATGTATATGTTACGGTGAAAGACCGAAATCTGGAGAATGTCGACTCTCACCGGTGAATGTCCGAAATATTTGTTATATCCAATTTTATATTCATTTATTCGTTTTGTTGATATTATTATATTTATTTGATATATTTATATTTATTCTATATTTTAATACTTACTGACGATAGATTAGAAGAAACATCAGTGTTTGGAGTCTCGGGCAAATATATACCGGGCAATGGCACTTGACCTTAAAAAACATCAGTGTAGGGTATACCGGGCAGTGGCACTTAACCTTAAAAAAAGATCAGTGTAGGGTATGCCGGGGAAATGTATACCGGGCAGTGGCACTTAACCTTAAAAAACATCAGTATAGGGTATACCGAGCAGTTGCACTTCACCTTAAAAAAACATCAGTGTAGGGTATACCGAGCAAATGTATACCAGACAGTGGCACTTAACCTTGAAAAAACATCAGTGTAGTGTATACCGAGCAAATGTATACCAGTCAAATGTAAATGTATGGCCCGATACTCCAAACACTGATGTTTCTTCTGATCTATCGTCAGTAAGCATTAAAATATCGAATAAATGTAATTATATCCATGAATAAATTCATATCAAATCGAATGTAATAAATATTTCGGACATTCACCAAAGCGACTAAGTGATTGTCAACATTCACCGGTGAGAGTCAGCAACCACCGATTTCGCTCATTCACCGTAACATATATTCTTCAAATTCCTACCTGAATTTGCCAACATATCTTTAGGTACTAGAGTAAAACCCTAATCATCTGTATTTCCCAATCTTTGTTTTTCAGTATCTTTCCTTCCTGCATCTGACTCTTGAGTGGGTTTAAGACTCTCTCCATTTTTTTTTTATCCTTAGTTGTTGTTTCTAATTAATGAATTGTGATAGATAACTGGTAAATGTACAAATAAAAATTTTGATGCATTGTCTTGAATACAAATCATTTTGTCGGTATTCACTGTGGATTGATCACTGTTTAATATTTAAAATATTTTTAACTCATTTTATTTAATATAAATTTTAAGATTTTTGGCTTAAAAATATCTTATTAACAGAATTAAATTAAATAACAAAATATAAAATTATATGGAAATATAATAATATAAAAAAATTATTTATAGAATATTGTACTCATATAATTTGTTAAATCTTAGATGTAATAACATAAAGTTGAATATTTGTCTTTTGAAAATTACATATTTTATCCTGCTAATTTCTATTTAATTTTTTATTTAAATGTTTTTAATAACATGTTTCTAATAATATATTTTAATAAATTATAGAGTTAAGTTTAATAGGACAGCTATTTTAAGTATTAAAAAAAGGAAATGTGTAATGTTCTTAAAAATTAAAACAATGTTTTAATGTACATATTATTTGTTATTGGTAATTTAAAATTGTAAGGTTTTGTGAGCAAGATCATTGCTTTTTTTTTTTTTTTTTTTTTTTTTTNTTTTTTTTTTTTTTTTTTGATTAGATAAACATTTTTATAATTAAATAATTTGTGAAATTTTTAAATTTTTTTTAGGTAATATAATATCTAGTAGAGAAAAGAAGATATATTTTACCTTATTCACTAAAAAAATTCATAATTATTATATAAAAGTTTTTACTTGTAATTTTCATCAGAAATATTTCAGTCAATATAGTTTTAAAATATACATACATTTGTAAATGATTCTGACATAATTATTGTTTAACATAACAGTTTTATTCATTATAAAAGTAAAAAAAATAATAATAAATTGACATTAAATTACAAAACCTAAGGACCCTGATTTAAAGTAAATGATGTTATAAAAAGTATAGTTTAAAATCTATCTTCTAGGGCTTGAAATCTACTCTTTTAAAAGAGTTTTCTTTAAGATGCTATCCTTTTTCTGATGAAGTCATAGAAAGTGAGTCAAATAATTTTGCTATATAACCTATTACTATATTGTATCTTAATTATTTACTTTTTTTCATTTTCAATCGTATTTCAGTTGTATGCAGAGGACTCTGGGATTCTAATGTTTTCCTGATAGATTTTAGTGCTTGTAACTTGAGTCTTGAAGGTTTGAATTCTATTCGAAATGTCATTTTGGTAGGCATTTTACTATTTATATATATTTTCTTCCAATATTTTATGATTGTTCTATGCATGATTTGATAATTTCTGTTGGGAGGGGCGGGGGACAACTCTCGGCTTTATGAGCAGTGTGTGGATACTGTGTTGAACTAATCAAAGAAGCAGTGATGATCAGAATGAATAAAATTCAACATATATTTATTTTGGCATAAAACTTGAACAACAAGAGTCTTCGATTAATAAATCACATTTTGTAACTTGTAAAGTTACCCCCACAACTTGATAGAATGAATAAAATTCAACATATATTTATTTTGGCATAAAACTTGAACCAGAGTCATGGATTAATAAATCACATTTTGTAACTTGTAAAGTTACCCTCACAGCTTGACACGACTTGATAGAATACATAAAATTCAACATATATTTATTTTGGCCTAAAACGTGAACAACAAGAGTCTTGGATTAATAAATCACATTTTGTAACTTGTAAAGTTACCTCCACAACTTGACAGAGATGAATAATGCACATGCCCACTGTACAAAACACAAAACTTTGGCATTACTTGAAAATTTTCTGAAATGGGAGTGAGAGTACCACAGTGGTATTTATATACATTTACAATAGTTCTAGAAACCAAAGCAATATCATCTGCACATCCAACAATACAAGCAGGAAAAACATAGTTGTGAGGATTGGATGAGGGAAGGGCTAAATGCGGATAATACCACCATGATTCATCACCATGGTCATGATTTCACCATAACCATGGTAACCAAGGCAACAGAAATCAAAGATCAATCTCATTGATGCACATTATGATGTGACTCTTCTTTTTAATATTGTCATCAATGAAATGTTTACAAGCAAGGCTTAAATTCAGTCATGTTCCCAAAATTGTCTGTGTTAGCTTTACTGTAAATTTTAAGATGTGATGCAAGCATAATATAAATTTAAATATTTAAAAATAGTACAGTGGAAAGTCTCGTATCCGGAATCGGCGGGACTTCCCGAAGTCCGTATATTTGATTTTTCCGTATAATTGACCTCCAAGGTAAACAAAGCTTAAAATGATCTGAATCTAAGAAGCTGCTTAAAATGATCTGAATCTAAGAAGCTGCTTAAAATGAAACATTTTATTATTGCTGCTGCTTAAAATGAAAAAAGATGCTTAAAACAAAAACAATTATTGAAGGAACTTTCCTTGTTGTAATAATTTTTTTCAATTTGATAATTTTTTTCTTCATAAATTGATAGAGTTCAAAACTAAATTATGCAAAGCATTTGCAAAATAACAGCTATCCCACAGAAAATATTCTGCAAAAAGCATTTTGAAATCCCAATATAAAGAAAAGAAGGAAAGATAAGAAACAAAATGCATTACATTCTGAGGCTGATCTGTAGATGAAACCGCGAATTGTAATTCAATTCTTTCCAGACCATTTAATTACTCTAAACGAACATTGTCTATACGACTAGATAAAATCGAGATCTTTGTAGGTAGCCGAAATCTTCTTTATCAGTGTGGTATCAGCATTAGCTTAGGCAAGGGTATGCACATAAATTGTTACATCACGTGCATCTTTATCAGTGGCTTTAGAGAGCAATTGTATCCATGTAGCAATGTGTGTGTTTCATTGATATTATGCGATATATTGCCCAGTACTAGTTCTAATTATATTTATCTTCTACTCTTTGTTGTAAATTTTGCTAAGTTGTCCATGTATGTTATTTTATCAACTATTAACATAAAATTTGTACTTAAATTCTTTTTACCAAGTTAAAGTCAGTTTAGCTAAAACTTTTTTATTTCAAAATTTCATAGAAACATAAAGCTAGGAGAAATGTCCAAGTATTTCCTGATACTTTAAGATACAGATTGCCTGTGTTTGAAAAAATGATGGGATTAACTAGAATTATTTTTAATGGCAATAACATTGGGGATAAAGGTGTAAACATGATCTGTGAAGCTGTTTCTGATGATCGTTGGATCCAAGGTAGTTATCACAAATTTTTATTTAGCTTTTTCATTTACAAAAAAATTATTACTATTAGTTTTTTAAGTGCAAGTTTACTAGGAATAAACCTGCTTCAAACTTCTAAGAGAATAACTAAATGCAGTTCTCAAATGTTTGTGTTTCAGTTATGTTTATCAAATGATACTTTTTACAGATAAGGAAATTTTCTTGAGAAATTTTTTTTAGTATAATGTAATTATAAAGAATCAAGTGAAACAAAAAAAGATTAAAATGAATAAGAAAATTAATTATAAGAAATTCTAAAAATCTGCACAAAAAAAAATGGTCAGTAAATAAAAACAAATCTTATTTATTTTATAAATTAAAACCCAAGTTAATTCAATTTTTTAAATTAGAAACATTTTCTGTTTTTTTATCTGTCCATTTGCAAGATTTATATATAACATGGTTTTCCTGTTCATTAATTATAGATTCTCATTTGATAACTCTTCATTGGACTATTTCTTCTGAGCAGAATATGAGAGTGCGGGTAAACATGAAATATCTAATAATGGCTTAAAATGAATTAATTTACAATAAATATTAAAAATTTTAATTGAAGAAATTATGTCTACTGCCTTGTACCAAATAAATGTTCTCTTGTTAAATCTAATTTCTTGTAAGATCCAGGATCCTTATTAGTGGGTTCTACTTAACCAGAATAAATAGTTACTGACTTGCGTCTAGAAACAAAAAATTATTTGTTATGTGAACTGCCTGTCTTAAAAGAATATCTGCTATGAGATTTGATAATGTTTGGATATTTCTATTGTTCTTTGAATTTTACTTTTATTAACTTCTTGTCCAGTATCTTGAGAAGTACTCTTGTAAAATATTTTTAAATAATGCATTAAATTATACAAAACTGACCTCCCCAAACAAATTGGGATTGAGGTGAATTAAACTTAGAAATCTTTCATGAGAACCCTTATTTTTGTTGCAGATTTGGATTTTCCAAAGAAAAAAGTACCCCAACTTGACTTGCAGGTTATTACATTTTAGTTCGTACATCATGCTGTAATTGCAAAATAAAGATTACATAAAAAAGAGATCTGAAGAAATGTATAATTGATTTAGAAAAAAATTAAAATAGTGTTAAGTTGAATAAGTTCTTAATACTTAGAAACTATTTAATGACCAACCTCCTTCATCACCCCCTGAGGCTAGGCTGACTCTAGTTTGAAGATGAGGATTTTTGTACCATCTTTATGTTACAATTGCAGCTCTGTCTAAGGACAAAAATGCAACAACTTGCAATTCAAATCAAGGTTTTTTTTTTTTTTTTTTTTTGTAGGTACAAATATTCATTTACTTATTTATTTTAGAAGTATCTTTAGATTTTTGATACAGTGTTTATTTCTTGAGATTTATGAAAATTTCCATTTTTTTTTTTCTGTGTTGAATATCTTTAGTGAACTCATTGAAATACTATAAAAATCAATTTGTCCAGTTTTAAATTTTAATATCAGGTCACATGAGACTGCTTGGAATACACTAGTGAAAAAAAAAATACTATTACCTTTAATATATTTTTTTTTTAATATTTAGCATTGGATTTGCAATGTTGTGGAATAACAAATGAAGGTGCTAAGGCTATTCTTGAGCAAATCACTGCCAATAATGTCATACAACTTGTAGATCTTCGTTTAAATGAAATTGGTAAGAAACTTATTTTTTAAAAAAAAAAGAAATAACATTTTTTATTGAACATTGGTTGATTGTTTCTTATTATTTTATTTTAGCTGGACCCATTCTTGATCGGATATCTCTGCAATTAGGAGTCAACAGTTTTGGTAAACTTATGAACGTTAGTATTTACGAGTTCATTTAATGTTGCACTGGATTTTCCTTCTTGTAGTTACTTCTTCATTTGTGCATATTTAAGATAACTTTCATTTTATATTTTTTATTATAATAATTTCTACTTGAAAATCGACTATATATTAAAGTGGTTTGGTTCATATTATGCTCTTATATTATTTTTTAGTGTTTGAGTGAATAGGTTTGGTAAACTTATGAATGTTAGTGTTTATGAGTTAACTTAATGTTAAACGGGATTTTTATTGATTTAAATACTTCGTAAATTGTGCATATTTAAGATTACTTTCATTTGACATACAATTACCTATAAGAGTACCATGGCTGCCAACCTTTCAGCATTTGCAGAAGCATTTTTAGTTATTTATTATGTGTAGAAAGAGATTTCTGCATTTTTACCCTGCCCGTCAGATAGCTTTATTTTCTTTAATTCAGACGTTGCTCCTCCTCTTGTAACGTCTCCATGTAACGCAATTGCGTTTTTAGTTCCCTCAAAAAGTCCTTCACAAAGGAAAATTTCTCCCAATATTTGATCCATGAGTTCCCTTGTCTTCTGGATTGGGTTCAAAATTACAAGGGTTAAAATTGGGTTCTCTGTTCAGCGACGGTTGTAAAGTAAAATAAAATTTTTATTTATTAGAGCTAAACGAAAGCAAGCCTTTAAAGAGATTTATTCTCTCAAATTTCCATTTATTTCATCTTATCTTGGAGTACATGATGTAGGTTGCAACATATGTAAAAATGACTTATGCAAAATATTTTTAGTTTCTCATCTGTTTCAAAACCATTTAATTTAAGACATACTCCACAAAAAGTTACTTTTAGTACTTGATAATTCTTTTTTTATTTAAAATGTAATAGTTAAATTGGAGCTCTTATTATTTTATTTCTTTTTTTCAGTTTCCTCATCTTCCTCTATGGAAGCCAAGGTCATTTTCTAAAGCCATCCCAGTTCGAAAGAATAAGTTAAAAACAAAAGTAATTAAATTTTTTACAACTTTATATTTTTAAATTATTTTCTTTGCACAGTTGTTCTTGATTTTTTTTTTTTTTTAATATTCCCTTATTCAGGTTTCAAAGAAATATTCTGTTGCTAAGAAGATAATTCGGAAAGAGACTAAAAGGTGATACTTCTTCCAATTTTTTTTATGGTCTAGTTTAACAAAATATTGAAAAAATTTTCAGGAAATTAATTTTTTAAAGTGCATGTAAAAAACGTATAATATAACGATAAACGAGCAGATAAATTTTAAAGTGTAATATGTAAGATAGAAAAAAGAATGCCTTGTTTATAATAAATAAAATAAACTTGAGATTATTCAGATGTGCTTTATGATTTCTCTACTTTTTTTTATACAGATTTTCTGAATTTTATAGCATTCACTGTTTAAAATTTATTAAAACTAATCAAATAAAACTCAAAATCCATGGATTATTAAGGATTGAAGTTGGTTCTGTCAATGTTGATTTTTCAATGTGGCATTTTAGGGTATCATTCACTAATTAATTTTTGTAATGTTATAAATTTTATCTTATTGCATTGAAATTTCAATATCTAAGACTTTCTGTTTGAATTAATAGTTTTATTTTATATAGTAGTATAATATTACGTTACTAACATTCAAATGCTCCAAAATATTTTAAGCGTTTTGTATATTGTATCCTATTGTTGCCCTAATTTTGTATCCTATTTGCTACCGCTTTATCTCTCTATTAATGGCAAAACAATTATTGACAAAACAAGGACTTTTAAAACAAGAAATTTTATTTGAACACTCACCACTGAATTATGACTAATTGAACACCTGCATAAAGGAAAAGCAGTGATGTAATTTGATACTCAGAATTGTAATTTTTTCCTTCAGTTTTTAATACAGAAAAAGAAATATTTATCATACCTGCAGTGGAAAGTTCCATATCTGGAATAGTCTGGTCTCCGGTAAGTTTGGTAAATAGATTTTTCTGGAATACATAATAAGTCTTTAAAGTAAACAGACATCAAAACGACTTTAATTGATAGAAAATAAGAAATAGAAGATAATTAAAGTCAATTTTCAATCCATGTGGTTTGCGTGGTTGTGCTATTTTCCTGGGTTCTCATGTGGTTTTTAAAATTTTGATATTTTAATATGCCATTATATTATACCACAAATTCTGAATCATACATTTAAGTTTGTGATCATTTCTTGAATAGCGACAATTCCATAGAGAATCTGCGTGGTTTTGTCAATTGTTTTTTGGTAGTCGGATTTTCGCTTGGTTTTTAAAATCTCAATGTTTAATACGATATTATTTTGTTCAGCAAGTTTCAAATTCCACTTTTTGAACTGAATTATTTACGATTCACACGCAATCCAATCTGGATTAATTCGCGATCACATTTTATCAGTTGCTACTACCAATTTTCATAGTTGTTTAATGCTAGATTATCATACACAGAGAATTTCGGATCACACATTTGTAGAATTTGTAGATGCACTTGATTTGTGATGATTTTAAAGTCCACATGGTTTTATAGATCACATTTTCTACTGTTTAGGATTTACACATAGTTTTTAAAATTTCAATTTCATTTTTATTATAATATTATTACGATCTGCAAATTCTGAGTCACACTTTTGCAGAATCTCTTAATGGCCCACTTTAGTCATGACAATTTCATTTCCAATTCACAATTTTTTCGAAATTTGAAATTTTTGCACACTGAAATTGAATACATGGTTTTTCGCGGTAATAATCTTTTTATGCATTGCTGTGAGGAAAAAGATCTGTGATTTTTCTGTGCTGTAGTTAATTACCGAATTATTTTTCCATGATATCCAATTTTTTTTCTTCTTCAGATTGAAGCGGAAATCCGATTAATATCGTAACAATATCAGAAATCTGAAAAAAATCATGAAGCGGAAAAGCAGAGTATTTTCATCCTTGCATACTTTGTTTTAACAAATTGCAAGTGTAAACAAAGAAACAAAATTTTTCTTATTGGGAAAAGAGTTCTGTTTATTTTGATTGCTAAGAAGTGTCTGGAAAATAGATTCAGTAAACAGATGTCTGGATATGGGACTTTGTACTGTATTTAAAATTTGGTTATATTTTTACCTACGTAAACCAGCTAGTTTGCTATTCTCCTTCTTCCTACTAGAGAATTATGTATCATAACTTCTTTCTTGTGTCCTATAATTTTTGGCCTGTTTGATATGTGCATGCAAGTAGAATCATTGTTATATACAGGGTGGCCACTTACCTGGAAAACCTGGAATTATCAGGGAATTTTTTTTATACTGGAAATATCAGGGAAATTTGGATAAGAACCTGGAAAAATTATGGAATTTTAAAGAAAAGCTAGAAATTTTTTCTTTGATAATTTTTTTAATTTCACTAATTTAAATTATTTACTAATTTTCTTAATTTAAATTATTTCATCCATTATACCCACTTTTTTAAAAGGAAATGTATCGTCAAACTGTTGAAATATCATCAACTTAGCGATACTTTGCTTGCATCACAATTTGCTCCATTACAGCTCTGTTAAACTAGAATGCCACATAAAATTCTGCCACGGTTGCTAAACGAATGTAGAAACCTTTGACCGCTATGGGACTGTGCAATTTAGGAAAGATTCTGGTGGAGGTGGAAAATGGGATTAGGAAATTAGCTTCTGTTTTTAAATTCTCTCCTTGGGCTGAACCCATTTATGACTCAAGTTAGTTCCAATGCTTTGGTGGTAATTTTTTTTTCTATTTTAACAAAATGTTTTTGTATTTTTAACTTTATAAAATTCTCCAAAAATTAGTTGGTTATAATTTAATAACAATAGATTTTATATTGCACTCTTTTTCTGAAAGCTTTTCTACTCCCATTCAAAGAAATCTATAATTATTTTTTCTCAGCAAACCAACCAATCACATTTTTTTACAATCGCTAAGAGCAATGTTTGTCGACAAATCTTTACGATTGTTGAATTAATGATTTTTTATTCAAAATTTTGTACCAAAACATTAAAAATTAATTAAAATCTTGCCAAATTGTCAAAATAAATTATTTTTTCCAAGATGATATCTTAAAAAAATAACACTTTAAATAAAATATTTTATAATACCGACACTTTTCTTGTACACATCCTACACTTTACAAGAAAAAAGAAACAAAAACCTGGAGATTTTAAGATTTTTATCTGGAAAACCTGGAAAAATCAGGGAAATTTGAAATCTGATTTGAGTGACCACCCTGTATATAGTATCAAATTATGTTTTTAACCCTAAGAAGTAGCATTAAAATAAATACAGTTTGTTAATAAATTTACTGCACACGAAATAGTCTTATTAATTTATAATCATATTTTTAATTTATAACTTTGTGTTTTCTTTTGTTTGACAATTTCTTACTTGATAATTATCTTTATAATTTGCAAACATTTTTTCTATAACCCAAAAACAATATAAACTTACAAATATGCATTGCCTTTTATACAGTCTTGAACAGGCTTTCAGGATATCGTGTGAAATTATTGATAGCAAAGAGGGAAGTACAAAAGATGCCATGGTACAAACAAATGTTCTTGATGAAGTAAAACATTTAAAGGTACTATTTCTTTTCTTATAATATTTTAACTAAATTTTAATACTTGATACTGTTCGATACTAATTGATTTGATTTCTATGCTGGTTCGTTTGATAACGAATTAATAAGATATCATATGGACTGTATTTAAGATTTTATTTTCATTGGTGCTACAAGCAAGCTCATGCTATAAGATGAACAACCAAATTTCAACTGTTTGGGATTACAAGAAACGGTGGCAAGGATGCTAAGACAAAGATGCCAAGTTGGCACAATATTTCTGAGATATTGAGCAGATACTTTTATGAAATAAGTTTAGGCCTCTTTACTTGCAAATGAGGCAATCTTTGAGATTCATTATGACAATCAATGATTATTTTTACATCAAGGCTCTGGAGTTGTGTTTTCCCTTATAGCTTTAATTTTCCTGTCTTAAAATAATAATAAAAAAACTGGAAAAAAAATTTCCTCCAAATTTCTTGATGTATCAGTAAATACAAATTAGTGTCTGACATATATATAGATATTATTTTATTTTAAATTCAGTTATGCTGTATTTATTTTTCATTCTAATAATAGATAATTGAGACATATTTATCATACTATAATCTGAAATTCATTTTTATAATTAAAATCCTTTGTTTTAATAATAAATAATGCTCTTTTTTATAATAAAAGTTTCAAATTAAAGTGTGAATCTCAAAAGTTTGTATAAATATATCTTGGAATTGCTGGAGCCTGAGACAGCTCGGGCTGCAGCTTTTTTTCTGGAAACGGAACGTAGCTAAAGCGTCTAAAATTTTCTGGCTGCGGGTCCTTGCTTGGTATTTTTATTGTTAAACTGCTTTATTTAGTTTTGTGATACAATAAGATAGTTAACTGGTAAGACTTTACTCTAAACTTTAACTTAAAGTGTTATAAAATTTTAGTAGAACATTCCTGAGTTTTTTTGACCAAATTCCTAGACAACATTTATGATATAAATGTATAAAGATTTGTGCGGTTAGAGGCCCCGCTCAATGTGCGGTTGACGCTTGTGCAGTTGTTTTCCCGCTCAATCATCTATTACTATATTCTCCCGGCCGAGTGGTTAGGGTGCCTGGTTGCGGAGCCGATGGTTGCGGGTTCGAATCCCGCTCAGGGCATGGATGTTTATTTCTCTGTGTTCTTTATCCTTTCCTCTGTGTGTGACTGTGACTCGCCCTATAAACGGGTTTGTGGTTGTGTGACGTGGGCGACGCTGCTCCACCGCCGTGGCTTTGTCACAGGTGCCCACTGAGTAACGAGAAGAAAGTAGCAGTTCTGGCACTCCTGGCCAATGGGACAATACATCCCAAGTACCCGCCATCAATATATATATATATTCTCCCAGGACATTCCTAATTAAAAATTTATTTTATTATACTTGCTCTTTTTAATGCTGTTTGGTTTTTCAAATTCACTTTTGTTATACACATTTTCCTTATTATTTTAACAGGAAAGAAATAAAAATTTAGAACTAACAATACTCAAAGAAATATCAATGAGAGATTCTTTAATGGAGTTGTCAGAAAAGGTAACAATTAATGAATGATTCTGTTTCAGTTGCTATTTAAGTTTACTTTTAAGGGAGGGAGGTTTTTTAGTAACTGATTGTGATGCCTTTGGTTTCAATCTATGCATATTTCCAACTATTTCCCTAGAGGAACAAAAGCATATTTTTCTAGGAATCGGGTAAATGTTTTTTTTAAGGGATCGATTATTAACTTAGTTAGGAAATAGCAATTGTTCATGTTTTGTTTTATGCTGTCCAAGTTGCATTCTTTGAAAATTTTAATAAATATTTAAAAATATTCTTTTAGCTGGAGATATATATATTAATAAATTAGATGTAGTCTTATTACATTAATATTTTTATATTAAATGTATTCTATATTAGTAGTGTGATTTGTGAAAATAAGACTGTATATTAACTGTTTTAATGCAATTTTATTTGTGAATTATGTGTTTTTAACATAATTTATAATGATACATCATTTTGATACAATGCAACATTATTTTATTTAACTTTGGGTAAGATCTTTAATGAGGTGCACATAAATAAATGATGTAAAAAGTGGGAGCTTGATATGAAAAATCAACATTGTATAGTTTTTTTTAAAAAAAATCAGTTTTGCACCATTTAATTATTGTTTTTTTTTAAAAATTTAAAAAAAAAATATTTTGCCAAAGTTTGAACTTTTTGCAATGATTCTTTTCTATGCATAAAACTTAAATTTCTCCTTTACATTTCATCTTGTTATTGCAAATTTGCTCAAATAGTTCCTAAGGAAAATAATTGTATGACTTTCTTACAGTTGGATTTCTCAAGAACTATTTGACCAATTTCCTTCAAATTTTATGTTTTGCCACTAGATATAGATTCTTTAAAATGATCAGGGGTGATTGCATACCTGCCAACTCTCCCGCATTTTGCAGGAGATTTTATTTTCATAATTAAAGTGGTAGTAAATATATACTATTTTTTCTTTTATAAATTTAATTTTTAAATGATTTTGATCACCACTATTCTTACAAAAATTAAGCTTATATATTAATATGCGTTACTATCATGGTTGTCACCACATCGAGATCCAACCATCCCAAGGGAAGGTTGTGCATCCAGGGTCCAGTAGTGAGCGTAGGGTCGTTGGCTGAAGCCGAGAGTAAGTCGCGACTCGAAACTCACTGCTGCTTAACAGTTGCTCTGTCCCGAATCGAGAGTAGGGCAAGTACACTGTACCATGTTACGACCTGAATTGAGAGTAAGGCGTAACCCGACTCAACTTTAACTTTTTTCAGTTACACTGTCCTGAATTTAGAGTAAGGCAGGTATACTGTATTTTCATCATATTATGTCCTGAAGCTGAGAGTAAGGCATAATACATCAAATTAACTGCTGTCTACAGTGTTTCACTGTAGATTTAATTCCACTCCTACAATATCTTCAGTTTTCAAATAAGACCTTCAACTAACTTCTATTTGCAGTGCTACACTGTCCTGAATCGAGAGTAAGGCAGGTACACTGTAAATTAATTCCTAAATTCACTTAAAATCAATATCTTCTCACTTCTACATCAAGATCAGCAGCCAGCGTGCTCAGCCAATCACCGGGCAGCTAACATCAGACCACGCCCACACCTCCTTTTCTTCTCTCCTTCTTTCCTGCCAATTCAGATGCTACTATTTCAGATGTAACAATTCATATGGAAAGGTAAAAGGCCCCTTCGGGGCCTAAACGCCTTGACAAATTTGTGATGACGATGACGATCATGGTTGTCAGAAAATTTGCACCGCAAAAGAAAGATCATCGGAGTACCACCGGCTCAGCTACCCGATTCCTGAGAATAGTGAAGGAATTACAAGAACTCTTAATAGACGAGGAGTTAGTTTCGCTGCTCCAATCCCTTCTCCCAGCTCCCAAGACCTAGACTCGGAGATACGCCAACCAAGACGACCACAGATTTTCATCTGTGGAATACTACTCATTTTGAACTTTACGTCACTAGTCACCGTTGCCCTAGGGCAAATTTTCAGATGAAGAGGTCAAGTGCCCGCTGACGCGGGCAGGTACCTCACCAAATCCAGATCGTCGTCATGGTTGTCAACTTAATTTTTTTCAAATACAACGTATTTGTTTGCTTAAACTTGAAGTTTTAATACCACTGGGAAAAATGATAATGGAAGGGATTAAAAGTTGGCACGTCTGTGATTGTATGTCTGGTTTTTCATGTCATTCTACCAAATCTAAAAATTAGAAGTATTGCATGCAATATTTCAGAGAATCTCAAGACCATTAATTCACGGACTTCAGCAAATCAAAAATTTGTAATCTGACAAAATTTTCACAGTGTTCTGCAATCTATAATTTAAATTTTGAAATTTTAGCAAAATTCTGTTTGCGAGACATTTATATACGCCTGATTCAACTCATTTGATTGTTTTTATTTGGCAGATTTTTGCAATTTTGAATTTATGAAACTGCAACTGCTTTCACAATCCACATTCACACAATTTTAATATTAAGGGTCAATTTTCATATTTACTTCATTTAAAAATTAAAACTTGTGATTAATATTCACACAATTTTAATAACCGATAGCTCGATTTGTATTCACACGTTTTTGAAATCAATATTCCAATTTGTGTTCGCACGAGTTTATAATCCAGTGTCGCAATTAGTATTCACGCATTTTTAAAATCCAATAGCTGATTCTTATTCACTCGTTTGTAAGATTAAACATTGATTTTTCTATTTATGCCTGATTTAGAACTTACACACACGGCGATTCATATTCACACAATCTAAAAACCATGCATCATGATTTCTTTAATTTGATTTAAAAATGCTTTACGGCAATTTATATTTTCACGTTTTTAAAATCCGATAACCGATTCATATTAATGCATGCGATTGTGTGCCTTCCAATTCGAAATGTTTCCGACTGTTATGAAGTAAAATGATAAAATAATAATAACTAAAAAAAAATTGTGGATCTTAGATAATCTTCAGATAAATGACTTTTATAATTGTGTGCATAAAATTTACATTCACTTAAAATACTCTCATAACGTTAAATCACCAAATTTTCAACCTCTTTCCTGACCAAGCTATTGTGACCATGTTTCCCAAATTGCAGCTATCCTCCGTATTCTGAGGATCAGAAATCCAAATCCATCAAAAAAAGTATATTTGTTTAAGGAAAGTATGTTTTTGTGTCTTATTTTGGAACATAAAATAGCGTATACATTACTTAATTAGCCTATTTTTGGGGTCACCCAATCAAATCATTAAGATTGAGTCCTAGTATGTGTATATTTGACCGCTATATCAAAAGTTATTCTGGGTGTTTCTTTTTTTTAGACACTTTATATCTTTGTCATTTCTGTACATTTCATTTTATATGTTAACATTGACCCTTGATGTTCAAATATCATACTTCAAATATATAAAATAATATAGTTAAAAACATTCATTCATTGTTTAATTCTTCAAACTACTTTAAATATTTTAAGACTTTTAGGTTTTTTTTTGTTAAAATTATTTTAAGTTTTATTGGTACTATTTTTAATTTTATTAAGTATTGAACTATCTCTGCAAACTGCACTGATATCTGTTTTATTTTGCTTTTTTTTTTCAGTTTAAGTCTGAAAATTTGAAGCTGCGCCACTTAAATGAAACTCTTCGACGAGAAAATATGAATCTCCGCCAGGAAATCATGAGAAATTCATCATCAGACTCTGCCATTCTTATAGATAAAGAAACTTACACAGAAATTAAGCATGTTTTTGAAAAATTTCAAAGATTCTTTAAGTTGATGAAAGATAATGGGTAAGTGTTATTAAAAACTAAGAAAGCATTTTATTTAAGTAGATTTTTGTTCTGAAATTTTGTAATTACTGTACTGTGATTGAATTATAATTTATTTTTAAATTTAATTCTTGATCATCTTTTTCATAGTAGTGACAAATTTCAATTTTTTCTGCATTTTTTATTTTTTATATAAATGTTTAAGCATGAAGTTGAAATAAATGAACATTTATTGAATGGAAAATATAAAATATTTTTCTCATTTGTTTCATCAGAATTGGCAAATTTTTACAGATTTTTGAAGATTATTATTTTAAGTTGTGCACATTATGTCTTTATCTCAGAAGGGCAAATAATAATGTCAAACATAAAGAGAAAAACTAATCAGATTACATTAAAACTGGTACAAATTTGGTTTCCATATAAAATCGATTTGTACTATAATAAAAGATGTATGGCAATTTAGTTTTACTTGATGGCCTAAGAATTAATATTGTAAAAACTGAACTTTATTATCAGATAATTAAATTATTATTTTAGAAATACATTTAAACCCTTGTATAATAATCCTGGGTTATAGTGCACACTGTATCGTACACACAGGGATTTTCAGCCCGAACTTCTATTTAACTAATGTTAATTCATATACCAGGCTGTCTGCTGGTCACAAAAATGTTCTTTACCTTCATTCCAAATTCGATGAGATTTGATCAAATTAGTTTTTAGGCTACAATTTCTTTAAACTAAACTCAGCGGCGCGACAGCCCTTAAGGGCTAAGGCCTACTGTGCCCATCTCAGTTTTCTTGGGCTCTGGGGTGCAGGAGCAGATGTTCTGGTCAGGTAGACAGCCGAACGCGGAACCCCCAGTGTTTAGTTCCCAAGCATGCTTGGTACTCATTTATCGACCCACTGAAGGGATGAAAGGCTGAGTCAGCCTTGCCCGGCCCGAGGATCAAACCAGGGACCTGTGGCGCTCAGCCATCGGGCGTCACAATTTCTCTAATGAATCTGAAATCATGGCATAGGATTTAATTTCTTAAAAGGATTGGTATTTAACAGAGGGGAGGTATTTATTTAAGATTAACATCTATGGTAGGCATCCAATATAAGTATACAGTTTACAACTGAGAAATTAGTAGTACGTTTATAGTGGTTTCAAAAAAATTTTCACAGTTTTTTTTTAAAAAATTTTTTTAAACTTTTGGCCTGTGTGATATGTTCAAAAGTATATATTAGGACTTTAAATTAACAGTAAAGTAATGCTTAATGCACATTATAAAAAAGGAGTATTTAGAAAATTTAAAAATGATTAACTTTTAAATATTTCATTATTGGTAGGCAACCACTTAGTTATATAGAGTACAAATGTTCGGATTAAAAATTTTAGAAGAAAATTTTGCGGTAAGAAAACTCAGTAGTAAGAAAACTTTGTAGTAGAGAAACTCTATAGATAATTTATAAAGCAAATTGTGTACAATTGAAATCACTATTTCCAACAATACTTTTGAACGTTCTTTAAATGATTTTGGATATAGCAAACAATCGTTTAGGGTGGACTTATTGCTGGAATCTGCAGATGGTTCAATGTAGCATGATTCCCCTGTACTGTTTACTAAAAGTCATGAACTAAAATACTATGTTTTTTAGTTAGATATATAGTTTAATATTAGACGTATTGTGTAATGGTTTTTTATTATTGTCATGATTCCTTTTTCTAGATTATGGGACTTGGTATCAACAATTGGAGTTGCTGAATATGAAAATACTAGATTAAAAGCTGTGCCCAGTGAGTCAAAAGTATGCTTTGTTGAAAAAGTAGACGTTCCTCCTGATGGATGTCCAAGTAATGGTCCTATTCTCAAACAACAACGTAACTGCTCTTGTCACAATCCAGCTTGCATTTCAAACCAAAAAGCTGAAAAAGAAAACAATGTATCCATTGTGAATCAGGCTCAAAAATTTACCGAGGAAAGAGTGCAGCTGAAAATGGACAAAGCAAAAGTTTCCAAAGTATTTAAAGATATACGAGAAACTTACACAAACTGTGATTTTGGGAAGCAGGTGCCCCCACCTCATAGATCTACTCGTAAGTATTCATTGGGAGATGTGCAAGCAGGTTCAAAATCTTTTCCTACGACTAAGCCTCTGTCATTGAAATGTGTTTTGAATAGAGATATTCCTGATAAATTTATGCAAATCCAAACTCGTGAAGATTTTTATGAAGCAATTAGAAGTGAAATGGAAAAAATAGAATGTGCTTGCCAACTGCATACGGCACCAAAATCGCCAGACAAGAGTAGTCAATCTGTAAAGAACCAAACCAATGTAAATAATAAAGGTTTCTTCAAAAATGTTTCTTCTCAGACTGCTGCTGTTGAGTCACTTTCCAATTTCAAGGGCCAAAACATAAATAATGGAAGTGCATCCTCTGGTGCTTCACAGAAAAATGTGGAACAGTCAAACAGTCCAAGTTCTGCCATCAGAAAGGGAATCTCCCTTAAACGAACATTGAGCTTAGTATCACGTGAGTGGGATGAGCATGTCAAAAAAAACTTTCCCGATTGCAATATTGAGCAACGAGGGACAGCTGCTGGTGCTGAAGGTTCTAATTCTATTCTGGTTAATCCAGGCTATTTCAAAAGTAGATCTAGTAAAGATTTAGCTATCACAAAAGATATATCAACTCCAGCTCCATCACAAGGCACTTCCAAAAGTACTTCCAGGAAGACTGTTAACTTATTTTCTAGTAATTCTGTTGAAAGTGAGCATTCAGTGTTCCCTGATGATGAAATCGAGTCTTGGGAATTTCCTGACGAACAGAAAGGCAAGATAAAATCCACTCAAACACCCTCTAATGTAGACAGTTCGAGCAAAAGCTACTTGGAGTCAGTAAGTGATGCTTCTACTGACAAGGATGTAAAGTCTTTGTCAGGATCAGAACTGTATGAATCTGTCAAAAGTGATTCCGTGAATTCCAGAAGTAGCAATAAATCCATAGCTCAAAAAGCTGTTAGTGTATCCAGTGGTAATCCTGGCGATGCAAAGTTTGCCAAAGGTGATTCTGTCAATTCCAAAAGCAGCAATAAATCCAAAGCTCAAAAAGCTGTTAGTCAATCCGGTGGTAATCCTGGTGTCATTAACTCTATGGAAGGTGATTCGGTCAATTCAAAAAGTAGCAATAAATCTAAAGCTCAAAAGGCTACTAGTGACAGCGGTGGTAATCCTGGTGTCATAAACTCTGTCAAAGTTCCAAGCTCTACAGTTTTGTCTTATGAAGTGGTATTGTCCAATAACTCTTCCAAATCGTCCAAGAGGAGTCAGAAACAAAGGAAAAGTTCTAATCAAAACGCATCTGGTGGGAGAAAGACTGAAAAAGACAATGTTTCTAGCTCCTCTGTGCCATCATTAAGTGATATTACTACTGTGTCCTCTCATAGTTTGAATACTGACTCAGTGATGGATCAACTATCTGAAAGTGAGAAAGGGCTAAGTTAATAACTGCCCCAACATAACACTGACAATAAATTTGTTTTATATTTTAAATTCTTTATTGTGAATAAACAAATAAATTTTCCTTTGAATCTTACAAAAATGTGAGTTATTCTTTGATTAGAAATGTCTATTTAAAGGGCAAATTAGTGTGAAATATTTTCATACTAACAAGTAGGGGAGAGGGGGGTAAAACCGGGTACCTCGAATTTGGCAAAATTAGTTTTACTATCAGACGAACTCAGAAATACTCTTTATTAGTCGAGAAGGACCCACCATATTAGTGGTGGCATATTGCTATTGATTAAATCACTGCATCTGTGTAGGGAAGTTTTTTCTGCAGTCTCAATTCTCTTATGTTCTCTTGCTTTTAAGCTATTCTTATTAGTTGGTCGTTGCAGTTTTAAAAATTAATTTTAGTCTAGATTATGAGTTTATTAACTGTTTTATCACGACAGACGAGTTAACTTATCTTCCAGGAATATTCGCTATGCTGTATTGTTGTATTAGCGAATATTGTTATTAATTGCAATTGATTATTATTTTTTAAAGTATAGTAAAAAAATTTTAAAGGAATTTGCGTTTTGTTTCAATTTTAATGCTGCGGGGAACTCGTAAGTGCAGAGGGTGGGGCAAAGGCATGCCAGTGCTGTGATGAAAGTCTTAAAGAATCATATCCTATCAAAAAAGCTGGATTTAGCTTAAAAATAGCACTTTTCAGTTTTGTTTGATAATCTCTGCTCGTGGGTACTATCTTGTCCGGTGCCCTTTCTTCTAATGTGTAACTATGCTAGGCCAACAAAAACAGCAGTGTGGCAAAGGAAGAAGGTAAGCATCTGACCAAAGGTTTTATGGGTCCCATCCTCAAAGAACAAAAAGTTTTATTTACCCTTTATACTAAATTATAGCTATATTATTATATAGCTATATATTATTATTAGATTATTATGTAGATATAAATAAATTCTGTGGCATTTTCTATTGAAAAAACATTAATGAACACCATTTTTTGTTAAGAATTTTCATCCGGCTTTGATCCATCCCAAACCCTGACACAATTGTCCCTCTACTTCCTTGAGTAAGACCTTGCCTACATCACATATTAATTACATGCATTATTTTCTTAAAATGTCATATGAAATAGAAATGTCTGCTACTTTTTCACAGTATTTCTAAATTTTCCATAGAGTTAACATGTGTACTGGGCTTTACCCCACTGGTGGAGTAGAAACAAAATTTTCTTTCCAGTTTGACTCTTTCTAGAAGAAAATAACTGATGAAAAAAAGTAGTACATCTTTGACTTATCAGGATTGATACTGTGTACAACTAAATAATATATGTATCTTGATTAAATCTGACAGTTTATAGGTGGAAGCAGCTTGGCCCCAACAGTCCTTTAAATCTTAATTACCTGCAATTACCCCACCTTCCCATAATTAGTTTTTATCTGGGTTGGTAAGGTTATGATTAAAGTCACATTTTTTTTTAAAGAAGGAAAATAGATTTAAGCAGTTTTTTTCTAAATGAATCACGAACTGAAATATTTTATACCATACTATGTATATTGTTTAGTTTTTGCTTTTCCTAAAATCTGATTTCATTCATAATGAAGATCATATTCAAAAAATAATGAAGGACAATATATTCAAATAATATTTCAAGTTAGGCTAGTAGCTTGAAACTTTTAAATAATAATTTTCCATTATCTTTGTATTAAGTAATCTGCTGGTAATAAACATATTTTAATTATGCACTATATAGTTTTATGTTCATTTAAATCCAAGTACTTTATAAAACTTATTAAATATGTAGTTAGTGTATATTTATGATGAAGTAAGACTTGTTTTGCCAGAGTAACTTGAAATAATTTTTTATCTTAATTTATTGTAATCTAAACTAATTTACTCTTCATTGGATATTTAATTGACAAATTACCTTCCTGTCATTAAAATTTTAGGAAATTGAGCCTGAAATAAAATAACCATGCTTTTATTCAATGATTAAATAATTTTATATAATTAAATATTTTGTTGTTGTATATTTTAAACATTTTTGTTAGAAATATTGTTTTTAAATAAAGTCATATTAATTCATTTTATCAGATGATTTGGTTGCTTAAAGAAAAATCTGATTTAAAGAAAAAGATGGTTTAAATCAAATCCTATTTATTTCTTTATTTTAAAATCATGAATTTTGCCAGCTCTGCATTTTATGAGAATAATTAGCTTTAAATGTGCAGTTGAAGGTTTTCAGAGTATATAATCTTATTTGTAGCATCAGATAAAAAATGAATTCATGTTAAATGTACAATAACATACCAGCAAGTCTTGTTGAAACCTGGTGTGGGAATGAGCTTTCGACCAACTGTCATCTTTCAAAAAGTATCTCAAGGGAAATGAGTTAGCATGCCTTATATACTAGTGAATTGATGTCCAATAATTATAGTGGTAGTTACGCCACAATACTCCCCCACCGGAATTTTATCAGGGTTAGAATTCAATGAACAAAACCACTAGTTACTGTATTTAGATCGAGGAACTGTATTAAGTTTACTGAATTTTGAACACTTGTGATGAGAGGTGTATTAAGTTCACCGAGTTTTGAGTGTTTGTCGTGAGAGCTGTATTAAATTCAGGGTTGTGTGTGGCCTCCTCCATGTTGCTATTAACAGTTAAGTCTGCAGGATCCCGTAGTGTGTAAATGAGACTAAAAAGCAACTGAACGAAGAGGACGAGAACACAGTCACAAATAGCAGGTTAACTGTTCAATGTGGACCATCCATCGAAGTAAGCGTTACTTTCAATGTTAGTGAGTTCACATCACGTCCGCGTCACAAATGTGGGGATAGTGCATTCGACTATTCTAACTTTTATCTATCCAAAGGTACCTCTAAAGTGATTCCAGTCAGCATGCCTTATATACTATTGAATCGGTGTTTAACCGTAGTGGTAGTTACGCCACACTTGGCATTTGTTTACGTTAGCAACTGTTCTTTCTATTCTATTTCGAGTTAGCCAATTTCGTTCTATTTCGAGTAAGGAAGTTTTGTTGTTGGTAGTAGAATGGTAAATATTATTGAGAAATTGTTCTTCAAATGCTTGGCGTGGTCTGCTTCAATGTTTGGTGTGTTTTGGTTAGTTTTGGAAAAAAGGAAAAGTTCTGCCTTTCCCTGAGGAAAAGTTCTACCTTTTCCTCAGGGAAATTTTGCTTCGTATTTGCTGCTAAGAAAATGGCGTCCGTCTTTGCCAATGGTTATGATAGAACTGATGTCCGATATTTTCAGGCTCCCGATAGAGGGCGTACTCAAGCGTTGCGAGCGCGAATAGAACATAAAAGTTGGTCGAAGTCATTTCCTCGTAGAAAGTTCTCTTGCTTACTAAAAAGCAATGATGGATAAACTAAAATATATCAGGGATGCAATAAAATAAATATTAATTCCAAGTTCAGTAAAAGACGTAGACGAGTAAGAATTATATTTTTACAAATTCGATGGGCGATATAAGGCGTTGTATTTCACGTTACGTTAATTAACATTCCAACTTATGCGGAAAAACTTCGATCGTCTTTAATACGCCATTTTACTTATAAGCGGTAAGCTGACACTGAGGTCCTAAGTCACGTATCTGTGAGTGATCCTCTTCTTTTTTAGGGTTCCAGGGTTTGTGCAATCTTTACAAATTCATGGAGTTGTGTTACTATATTAAAGACAATTGCAAATTTTGGGTAAATTATTTTAAATAAAAAATCCATCGCATATTGTCAATTTTTGGATTGGTTAGTGTCATAATCATGCTTGTGAGGTATTCCAAATTCATTTGTTATTTGTTCGTTAAATTGAAGGAACGCATAATGTTCTGAACACTACAAGTATAATGATATTGAATGGCGCTCTTTTCCAAGCTTAAGCGTAAAAATTAATCGAAAGTAGAAACGAGCTTATTTTAATATTCATGCACGGAACATGTGTGTAAGTGAAAATGAGACTTATTATTCCATCTGTTATCTCTAGACCGCCAACCTGCTCTTTCATATATAACTTTTTAAAAAAGAATTATACTGCAGAAATGGCATTTTTCTACGATTTCCCACTCTTTTTTTTTATTTCTACTCTTAAGATACCTTTTAATTGCTATCTCCATCCTGCTAATGAAGATTGCATCATTACTCAGTCCTTTTCCATTAAGATGATCAAAATTCACGTTAAACTTATTTTTATTACAATCTAACAATTCAAAAGAAAAGTAAATGAGCCCTATTTCTTATGTCACTGGGATCAGTGCAAGCTGGATGCGGAATTCGCATCGACCAGCCACGGCTGTGATTCGAACCCGGTTACTGTTTGTGTATTTTAAAAATATTGAATTTAAAATTTTGCTTTTTATTTATTTACAATTATTACATTCGGAAAAATGTTTTTCTAGCACTGCACATAATATATGCAAATTTTTTTTTCATATATATTTCCTCTTTATTTTATTTATTAATTTTGTTTCTTTCGAGAATTTCTGAAAACACGTATACATAACATGATATATTTGCATCTTCTATCTATTGAGTTTGAGACTTATGCATTTAAAATTAACTTGCTATTGTATATATTTTATAAAGTTAAATATCTAACAAATTACATTATTTGGATTATTTTACATCATTTAAGTATAAATATTGAAAGAATGAGTGTGAGAAAGAAAACTATTTTATGCTTCTGGCAACTATATTTTGGTGACCATTTTCATATATGAAGAAACTCAAGTGACCATTTTTGGAGTATTATCGCAGCGGTAGCCATTCACTCCGCAGTCACTTGTTAAACAATAATAGATGATAAGGAAGAAAAAGTGAGTTCTGAAGACAATTTTCTTTATAAGTTTTATCAATTCATGACAAACTGGCATACCGACCTTCATTCATTCTGTAAAGTACTCTGACAGATCATCTGTACAGGGCTACACCTGATATGAGACTTTTCCGTGGAGCGTATGGATCAAATTTCAACTTTATGGACAATTACGCCAGTCCACATAAGTCCCATTTGGTGGACGGATACCTCCAATTGGAGGATATTCAACGGTCGGAGTAGCCTGCGATGTCTCCTGACCTTA